AAACTTCTTACTCTGATACTAATGCGCATAACAATAGGTTGATGTTCCATTAACATCAGCATGCATCAGCCATATAATTTCGTTGGGTGATTACTGATTTGGCGGACGAATGGGAGCTCTTTCTGCCGCCTAGTAGCGGACCGGGCTCACCACAGGTACCGCTGTCTTCCACCAGGGTGAGCGCCAGGCCAACCAGTTTCCTTCGGAGCCCCGTCAGGATACGGAATGAGGGCGCTTGGGTAGGAATGTGACTCCGCTAGGGTCAAATTGACGAATTACGTGTTACTTATCCCATTCAGAGTGAGGCAGGCGCAGCGACTGAACGGAATTGCGTGCTTTTTTAGTTATTTATCAAAGTTGAGTCACGGAAACGTAAGATATAGGCTTTGATGTAGGATTATCATTAAATTCATAGAAAAAGATTTAATTATAATTTGACTTTCATAATTATCGAAGAGAAAAAATATGGTTGAAGTTATCGTTCGTTCCATCCTCTGTGTAAGCCCATCCGCATCGCTGCCATCACTGCCTCCTTGTTCCGGGCTGACGTCTGACGGTCACCCCACTGAACCCATCCCACCAGCTGCTCCAAAATCGGAGCATGTCCCTCCGGAGTGAGTGTTTGAAAGGATGGATAACAGGACCGTAAACACGCTTGTCCAAATGCGGGACGGGCTCAATCACTGCGGCACCCCAGCCGGCGCGGCGTGATGACTGAATCAGCCCCAATGATCCCCTTATCCTCTTATCCGACGACCCCATGGCGATTAGAATTGTCTAAAGCCTGAAACAGACTCTTTCCGCAGTCAGGAAATCGCATGCGATGCGAGAGCCTATTCAAATACATGGAAGCACGCTCGCATCAATCACACGCACTTCCCGGATGCGATTGATGCGGGAAGAACTACGAGTATAACGCATTTGAATAGGCTCTCGCATGCGATTTCCTGAACGCGGAAAGAGTCTGTTTCAGCCTTAACCCTCGCATGTGTGCGGCGTTTGCCAGCTTCTAATGTGTAGGGGGGGGGGGGGAGGTCGGTTGGACCCCCCCTTGCCGTTTGGCCCCTGATCGAGCTAGAGCTTCGCGGAAAAAACGAGCGTGTCGCCCGTGACGAGAGGAAGCCGATGATACCCAATTTTAAGGTCCTAGGTCATTGGTTGACCTTCCAGGTCAGGTCAATGACCCAAAGTCGGGAAAATCGGGACCTGTTAGAAAGTCGTAAAGTGTGGCTGCTAAGGGGTTTTTCGGGGTGCTGATCACGAATATCGTGTTATTTTTGATCACAGATGATGTCTTGAAGCATTTAGACCAGGTCGGGTCAGGTCAGGTCAGGTCAACCAGTAGGCGTCGTGACGGGTATTCGTAATACGTGTCAACCGCCTCTGACAGCTTCGTAACATGTTACGAAGTCACCAAAACTACTTCGTAAATGTTCAAATGGTTGCTAAATTCGAATTCAGCTCCAAAAACTAGTCTAGAAACATGTAAAACTCGAAAAAGTGACCCGAGGTCACCCGAGGTCACCAAAGGTCAATGACCTGATCTGACCTTCAGGTGACCTTGACACACACGGGAGTAACATCAAATCACATGTTTGAACGTTTGAAACCACGAAAAGCTTGCAAACACGCGGCTAGTGCGAGCCGACATACGCGAAATCGTGATTTCGGCCAAACATGGTCTCGGAAAAGAGGTCACAGGTCAAAGGTCATTTGGGTCAGGGTCATGAAATTTTCAGGGTAGGTGTAAAATTGATCAATGCGAGGGTACTGAAAGTTTCGTCGCGATCGGCCGCTTTTTACGCGAGTTATTCGCGAAAAACCATGGGGGGGGGTCCATCCGACCCCCCCCCCCCCCTACACATGCGAGGGTTAAAAATTGAATTGATAGTGTCCCACACCATCTCAAATGAAACTTCGACAATGAATCATAAAATGGCAAATGACAGCCTTAACCCTATTCCTGGCGGGCTCCGCCGGGACAAGAAACTGGCGGGGGGGGGGGGCCGATTCGGCCCCCCCCCTGAGATCTCGAGAACGAAGCAAGATAGCGACAAGCGGTAAACGGCATCGGATACGCACGGCCAAGATCTACAATTTTTACTAAGGTCATTTTCAGGTCAGGTCAAAGATGACGTCACAGGGGTCGAAAAAGTCAAAATGGCGGCACTAGATATGGAGAGAGTTTTTCTCGAATAACTTTCGAATTAGTCAAGATAGGAACAAACTAAGGGCATCATCGTGATCCTCTCGTCAATCCGCATCGAATGATATATATGTTGACCTCGAAAGGTCAAGGTCAAAGGTTGACCTCAGGTCACGTGACCTCGAGGTCATCATGTATATCATTCGATGCGTCTTGACGAGCTGAACACAATGAGACCATCCACGCGTCTGTATCTTGTTCCTGTACGGAGTTATTGGCCAAAAACCTTTGGTGACCTTTGATGACGTCACATGACCTCACAGCTGCCCAACAGCAAAACAGACCTCAAGGTAGTGAAGGTTGATCGTATATGAAGTCATGTATGGTATATGGGGCCATTCCTACCCGTTTTAGTGGTAAAAACAGGGAGTTGATTTTTCCCCCATTGACTTATAATGGGGAGGTCGCGAAATTGACCTGACCTTAGGTCACCGATATCAAAATTCCGAGATATACAAATTGCACATACTGGTACCCTAACTAAACCCTGAAGAGAAGAAATTGATCGGTCAAAAACTCTAGCTCTGGCGTGATTGCAAACTTTTCTGAGGTAGCGTCACCAAACCGCCTCTGGTGACCTGACCTGAGGTCAGATCAACTCAAAATTTTCAGACATGTTGCGTAGAAGCCTTTTAGGAAAAGTCAGAAAATTTGAGCTTCCTAGCTCAACGCGTTTGGGAGATATAACCAAAAAACCTCAGGGGGGGGGGGCTCCTGAGGCCCCCCCCGCCAGGAATAGGGTTAAACTTGTAAGGTTAATTTAACGTAGACTTAGCCATGGGACGATAACCAGAATGTCTACAATATCTACTGTTATTTTGCATTTTCCAGGTAGACCAACTCTGCTATTTGATTGAAAATGGGTGCCTTTTCATTAGGTTGTTTGCCGCTTGCAAAACTGTACAGCAACGTGTTTACTGTTTAGTAATTAAAGTGACCATCCCACCTTAACATTAGTTTTGAGTTGAGATAGCCAAAATGGGGTCCCTGGTTTGCACTTACCGGTTTGAGCACTCACAATATCGAGAAATGCTTCAAATCGGAAACATCTAATCTCATAGTTCATAGTTGCAGCACTTTCGATTTAGAGGGGTAATGCATTTGAATGTCCCCTCTGAACGAGTGACGTCAGCGCAGATCTAACGATTTAAAATCTTGAACTAAAACGTTTGGGAGCACGCGGTTGCTGCTTTGCGCGCAACCATAGGCGGCGGTAAGGGGAAGGCACCGGGGCACCGTGCCCCCTTTGATTTTGGCATTTTAACATTAGCCCTATGGGCGTTGCATGGAAAGAATGGGACCAAAAGTCGGCAGTGCCCCCCGCCCCCTTAATTGAAGGTGTTATCGCCTATCGGTGTTATAGAGTTCAGTGATTCCGTCGCTACATGCGCGCAACAAGTGCCGCACTTTCAGCTGCCAAACTATTGCTTCCAAATAAAGTCGCCAGGAACAGCGGAGATCCCAAAAATAACAAAAGAAAAAAAAACTAATATCTTGAAAATCGGTGAATATTTTTCGGTGAAATCTGGTAGATATTCGTTTTCGCTCTTTCTGAAACGAGCGACATCACTTTCATGCCAATTCTTTAACATTTTTTAAGGTGGGAGGGTCCCTTTAATATGATTTGCAAAACGATCTTGGTTTCATAAGAAGGCGGCTGCAAGCTTGTTATGGATGCAGTTATTTTGTACATATATGTTTTGTTCAATTTAAGTTTGCCACAGTTGTGATACAATACCTATGGTCAGGGATGCGGAGCCGGAGCCGGAGTCGGAGCCGGAGCCGCCGGAGCCGGCATATTTTGCCCGGAGCCGGAGCCGGAGCCGGAGCCGTGAAACAATATAGCCCGGAGCCGGAGCCGCAGCCGGAGCCGCCAAAAAAGGGGGCGACTCCGGCTCCTTTTTTATTTTTTGAAGAGGAAAAAAATAATTGACCTAGTTCGGTTTGACAGTACAAGGCAGTAAAGCATATGAAAAGTACGTCATGGGCCATCAAGTGAATGAAAAAAGCCGAATATCCCCAGTATCCCACAGTACGCAATCAACTTTCTGTCTGCTCCTCCCCCCCCCCCCCACGTCTACTGCATCCCCAGAACATGAGGACCGGTCATCAGGTGACGGCCATTGTTTTGAAGCCAGTGCAGTGGACTGCGACTCCCAGCACCGTCTCTTCCCCCCCCCCTACCCTCCCCCCATGCAGCCGAGACGGATGTCAGCTTCAGTGAACTCCGATTCGCGGCGACTGCGTTTCCAATGCCATCGCTTCCTAGTCCTTTGTTCTGCCAGTTCTCTCCGAGGTGCGTTTGCGCGGGGACGCGGTGAGCCGGTCATGGCAAAGAGTAACGCGTATAACCAATCCAATTTTTCTTCCACCCGTATTTAATTGATTGCATAGGGGATGTACTGAGTCGGAGCCGGAGCCGCCGGAGCCGGAGCCGCCGGAGCCGGACCATTTTACTCGGAGCCGGAGCCGGAGCCGGAGCCGCCATAACATTTCACCCGGAGCCGGAGTCGGAGCCGGAGCCGATTTTATTCTCCGGAGCCGGAGCCGGAGCCGGAGCCGTCTGAAATTTCCACGGCTCCGCATCCCTGCCTATGGTACCTAAGTTTACACCTTTTGGGTAATGAATTATTTCTAGTGTTCTATTTTCATGAATTTTGAGCTTCATAATACGTTAAGAGTTTTAACACCATGTAAAAGTATGCGGCAACTCATAGATACTTCCTCTAGAACATATACACAACACAACATAACATAGGACTTAGCCTCTAGAAAACGGCAACCGCATGAACAATGGGTCCACATACTAAGCTGACATATGTATCTCCGGACATTGCGAGGCGTTAAGTCATAGGTCTTCCTGTGGTAAACGGTCGACATTCATGACGCCATATTCCGCTTCTGGTGTTTAATCACACCACCAAACGGTGCTGTTTTCCCAAATGGTAGCTGCTTATTCGGATCAGCGACGGAAATCCCTGAAGCGATCCTTCTGTGAGCTGGGCGTCACAGCCTTGCCGGGCGGACTTTTCGTGCGCGTTGGCCGGCGCCCTTCACACACTGTGACGTCGGACTGAGGCCCGGGTACACGCGTCACATCGGCTGGTCGCTGGGTGTTTATACTGAGTTTGGACAGAGTAACACAGACATATACAGCGGCGCCAGCGCGGTCAGCAGTGCACACAGAGGTGAGGAACGCCGCGGCGGGAGCTGCGGCTGCCGGACAGACGGGATCGCGGCACGGACAGGACAGACGGATCGCGGCACGGACAGGACAGACGGATCGCGGCACGGACAGGACAGTAGCACGGGCACCACTGGACAACAGACAGCACGGCACGGACACGGTAAGAGTGTAACGGGTGTGCCAACGGTAGGAGGTTGCGACACACGGTCATGGAAGCCGTGTATGACTGTGTGTATATTGGCGCATTTTGTGAAAGCAGTGAGAGTGTATGACCAGGTATAAACGCCGAGCTGGTTTCCCTAAAGACGTGTTGTGCTGCTTTCTATAAAACAGCATTGGTTCGTGTATCTCCTTCACCTATTCTAGCAATGTACACTCAATTTAATGATCAAATTCAATTTCCAAATCGGACTTCGATGAGGATCTCGTGAGATGTTATATTCGTCCGACTGCTATAATATAGTGTAATTATTAATATGACGTGGTTCTATTGCTATAAAGCTTACAAATAGTTCAGCGACAACAAATAATGCGATAATCAGAAGACCGTTCTCAAGCAGTCTCGATCAAGAAAAAATATGCTCCATGTCTGAGGGAGAAAATTTTTGGACCATTCAATGGGGTATTAATTTGGCAAGACGAACAATTCCGAACACGGTGCCCCAATCTTATAAACGAAGAAACTATAATATGGACATAAGACAGTGGAATCGAATATGGGTCATGGCCTCGAGCTGTCGCATGTTTATGATTGAAACTCTGAGGTCAGTCGGAAGAGCACCACACAGACTCGGCCATAGATGTCTGGTTTTGGCCTGAAACATCAATATAATAGTCCTCATCAGACAAAATCTTCTTTATTTGATGGCCACTGACCGCGGCTTCTTAGTAACATATGCTCCTACACATCCTTTGGACGCTATCCGTGTGAAAGTATGCTGCTGTATGCACTGAGTCATTGCCTTCACTACTTCCTGTTTTGTGTTTGTGGCGATAAACCTATAGTTGGATAGCTGCCAGGAATTTCCTTGCATGCTATGGACGATTAGCTATGCATTGATTCATACCATAAGACGTATAGTTATGCATGAGCTTATTGACTCTCTGAGTTACAGTCATGTATGCATACGTACGTCCAGAGGCAGACGATTTGCGTGTGTCAAAATAGGCCGGCAGGCGACTTATTAGCAGCGTGCAAGAGCGGTGACGAAGCATGACTTTGTTTCAGATGAAGACGTTTATTCTGCTGACATTCCTCACCTTATTGGCGTACACGGGAGCCCAGGTGGACCCGGCCAGCGACGATGCTGCGTTTCTGGCGTCACTGCTCGGGGAGGTGCCCGCCGAAGGGACCAACCAGGAGAGCCTCGGCGCCGGCGGCGGCCAGAAGACGGCGAAACCCAAGTGCGGCAGCACCTCCGACATTGACTCGCTGACCTCTGAGCAGTTCCTGGCTCTGCTGTCGGGTGACTGTGATCCTGTGGAGCCGGAGCCGGAGCCGCAAGAGCCGGTGCAGCTGTGCGAGCGTGGCGAGTTCCAGTGCACGCCGTACCACCGGTGTCGCGAGGAGGACATCTACAGCGACGGCATGGGCGACTTCAGCGTGCGCATCGGACTGGCGCAGTACGAGCGAGAGCGCGACTACATCCAGCACTCGGAGTGCCCGCGCTTCGGCGACGTGTGCTGCAGTAATCCGCTCCCCGTGCAGCCGTCCACCCCGCGGCCCCCCGAGCCGTACACGCCGCAGTGCGGCCGGCGCAACCAGGACGGTCTGGGCGTGCGCATCGCCGGGTTCCGCGACAGCGAGACGCAGTTCGGCGAGTTCCCCTGGGTGGTGGTGGTGCTGCAGATCCAGGAGGTGGGCGGCGAGCAGCGGCTGACGTTCGTCTGCGCCGGCTCGCTGGTGCACCCCCAGGTGGTGCTCACGGCCGCCCACTCTGTGGACGACATGGCGGACGCCCGGCTGGTGGTGCGACTCGGCGAGTGGGACACCCAGCACGAGTCCGAGCTCTACCTCCACGAGGACTATGACGTGAGCTCCATCAAGATCCACCCACAGTTTCACGCTCGCCTGCTGCGGGACGACGTGGCGATGCTGGTGCTGAACCAGCCCGTGCCGCTGCAGTCGCACATCGACACGCTCTGCCTGCCCGACCCCGCCGTCAACTACGACAGGGCCGCCTGCGTGACCGCCGGCTGGGGCAAGGACGCCCTCGAGGACGGCCAGTTCCAGACGGTGCTCAAGAAGGTGGACCTGCCGCACGTGCCGCGCGCTCAGTGCCAGCGCATGCTCCGCAAAACGCCCCAGCTGGGACGCTACTTCCGGCTGGATCGCTCCTTCACCTGTGCCGGAGGTAACGAGGGCGAGGACGCCTGCAAGGGTGACGGCGGCGCGCCGCTCGCCTGCCGCGACCCGCAGCAGCCCGACCGCTGGGTGCAGATCGGCGTGGTCTCGTGGGGCGTCGGCTGCGGGGTGTCGGGCGTGCCCGGAGTCTACGCCGATGTGCGTCCTCACGTGGGCTGGATCAGCGAGACTATCAGTGAGGTGGAGCGGGAGCAGCAGCATGACATTGACCTCAGCATCTTCGAGCGGCGGCTGACCGGACCGCCCGTCTGAGATTGCTGTTTGAATTGGCTAAGGGACTGACGATGAGAGAGTCTTAACGAAAATAACCTTTGTGTCTATGCAAAGAAGTCAAAAGTGTCTCGATTGTATGATTCAGCGCTTCGTATGTTACGAAATGCGACAACATGCACGGTTTACAGCGTGTGGAAGCGTAATATGATTAAAACTCTTGCACGGAGCCTTAGCCTAGTAATTGGGATGTAAATAAATCAATAAAAATTAATCAAAAACGTAAAAATGCAGTGCTTCCAAATATACCACACATATATAGCACACGGTCTCAGAAAATATTTAGCTCCGTATTTGATATGTGGGCAATTTGTAAAATTGATTTAAACGCAATCTTTTTTTAAAGACAACGGATACATTAAAACTTCAAAAAAGTATAAAATGCATGTTACCGTCAAGGCCAGTTTGAGAAATAACATCAAAAATGGAAAAAGTCAATTTAACACTTTTTAGGTAAGATAAACAAAACAAGTCACTTTTTGACTGTTTGGCTGTCATTTCTCGTTTTAGCTGGCTATCATTTCCCTTTTATCTCGTTAGCTAAAAACTTGAAGGTATACTTTTCAACAACGCACGGAAAAACCCCGACGTCTCTTTTGAAAAGGAAACAGGCATTTACACATGAACAGCTTAACGCGAACATCGAGGCCACATGAATAGCAAAATACATAGAGTTTATTAATGCTGAATGAGCCGCTACACGTAATAAGAATCTTATTTGTGATTTTACTCTCCTACCGTGCATATGAGACAAGCATCTTTTAAATAAAACAATGTAAATCAGAAAACAGTTCTAAGCTTATGTTTCTTTGTTTGAAATATGAAACAGTTTCGACATGGTTTCTTGAGCCTTTTGCTGATTCTCATCGGCTGTGCTGTAGTGCGAGGAGGTGAGTACTTATTTCCGAGGAAACTAATATCTAAGTTATCATAATGTATTGATTATTTCAGAGAGGTTAACGACGCAAATAATTTGTTCTAAACTCTAGTGCCTTATTGTCAATCTATCATGACTGGACTTTTGTTCATCTTTCGAAATATTATTCAGTTGGCGTTTTGTGAAAACAAGCAGTAAGGTGCGCTTCAGTTGATATTACTCTACATATTTCACCCGCAGATGAGGTAGACGTTTCCGTTCAAGATGATGGTGGAGATGACTCTGAAGAAGTCATTACGAAGGAGGAAACAATAGTGGAAAGCATTCCTGCTCCACCTCGCTCGTCTGCTGTCGAAAAGATCCAGGTCGAAAAAGTAGATGTAACAGGGCCAGATCTGGTCAAGTTGACAAGAAGGATAGAAGATGCTCTCAATGCAGTCATTGCAAAAGTAGTGCAAAGGAAAAAAGAGATCGCAAACGAGCTTCGTAAATTTGAGGTTGGAATAATGAACATTCTTAGACTTCTGGGCTCTGTGCAGCCCAGGTCACGCCGTGAAGCAAAGAAAGGAAGACAGGCTGCCCCCAGTCCAGATGACGACGATGATGATGACGACGACGACGATGACGATGACGATGACGACGACGATGATGACGATGATGACGACGATGATAATGATGACGATGACGACGATGACGATGATAAGAGATGAGTGCTTGGCAGATCGTCCACGACATTTTGGTGTATTTGATCATAGGTCACAATCGATCATCAAGATGAATGCCAACCATACGTGTAATTTGTGCTACTTTATCACATTCGACTGTCATCTTTGCCATCAATCGATGTGAACGAACCGCTGTGTCGCGACTGTCATGTCATGACCACTACGTCATTCAATATGAAAGGCAATAATGACTGCTGCATTATCTACATTGGGACCGTATGTTTGCCTGCATGATGCGAGTATGGATACAGACCCGATTGCCGCTTATCCCGAGTCGTTCACGTTTGTCCCACTCCCTAATCTATGTCTGTCCCTCATGCGTAATCACCTGCGATATTTGAAATGCGCGCATCAATACCAACTGGAAATGATAAGCCAAAGCACTTGTTTGGGCTGACACATATACAGTATTGTAAGTATAGGCAATAGGCATTGCCAGTGATACATAGAACACAACGAATAAAAGCAAGGGGTCTGTGCCTTTCTCAAGGCCTGACTTCAAATGCCATCATATCTTCATTTCCAATAAGCCCGTCGCTGGGGTCGAATTGGTCTGGCTTTGTCGATGGCTCAGATTCCCCATTGCATGGATGTCGTGCTGAGCAGGCTGAGGTCGGTCACGGAAGGTCGCGGGAGAGCGCTGCCCGGCGACTGGCACGGCCCAGGGCCAGGACAGAGCTGAGGGGCACGGACGGCTCGTGACGGCGCACCACCGCCAGCAGCCAGCTATCGCCGAACGCAGCGGGAACTCATTTGGAAACGAATGATATCGGCTCTATTCGCGGGCTCTGACGCTTTAGTGGATTTCGGTGATATGTGGCCGCTAACTGAACCTGCTCCCAGCATGATTATCCGTCATCAATTAATAATGGGCTTTTCTCGGCACAAATCATAAATCTGCATCAAGTTAACTTGTTTTGGAGTTTAACGACAGACTGAATTAATTTCGCACATAAAATCAAAGCATCCTTCTAACAAGCGACTGCGATTGATTTTAACCCTCGCCCGTATTGGTGTTTTGCCAACTGCGAACGTATAAGGGGGGAGGGTCCGTTGGACCCCCTCCCCTTGCCGTTTCGCCCCTGATCGAGCGCTTCGCGAAAAAAACGAGCGTGTTGCCCGTGACGAGGGGACGCCGACCATGCCCAATTTTAAGGTCCTAGGTCATTGGTTGATCTTCCAGGTCAGGTCAACGACCCAAAAGTCGGGAAACTCTGGACCTATTAGAAGGTCGTAAAGTGTGGCTGCTGTGTGTGTGTTTTTGTGTTTTTTTTTGTATTGATAAGGAATATCAGGTTAGTTTTGGTCGCAGATGATGTCTTCATGCATTTGGGCCAGGGCGGGTCAGGTCAGGTCAGGTCAACCAGTAGGGGTCCTGCCGGGTATTCGTAGAAGTTGTCAACCGCCTCTGACAGCTTCGTAACATGCTACGAAGGCACCAAAACTACATACTCTGCAAATGCTCAAAAGGCTCCTAAATTCAAATTCAGCTAACAAAAAACTAGCCTAGAAACACGTAAAACTCGAAAAAGTGAACCAAGGTCATCAAATGTCATTGACCTGACCTGACCTTCAGGTGACCTTGACACTCACCCTCATGCATTAGAGCAGCATCATACCTATCACAATCACATGTTTTAGCGCTTGAAATCACGAAAAGATTGCAAACGTACAACTAACGCGAGCCGACATGTGCCGAATTGCGATTCTGGTCAAACATGGTCTTGAAAAGTAGGTCACAGGTCAAAGGTCATTTGGGTCAAGATCATGATATTTTTAAAATAGGTGTAAAATTGATCAACTCGAGGATGATGAAAGTTTCGTCGCGATCGGCCGCTTTTTACGCGAGTTATTCGCAAAAAAAAACGAGGGGGGTCCATTCGACCCCCCCCCCTATACGGACGAGGTTTAAGCAGATTTGACTTGAACTCCAGAGAAACGTCATGCTTTTTCTAAAATTATGCAAGAAACTCATTTAGAGCATGCTAACAGTTTTTTTTTGTATTTGTGTGTTGTGCCATCGGTTGTTTCCATATTTCACTGGTTGAGCGCTAGGGCGCGTTTGTTGTGCGATAAAGCATTATCATGTAGGTTCCAAGCCTTGAGCACATCATTTTATTACACTAGGCATTCATACGTTGTCAAATCATACAATTATTAGCTAACTACACATGGTGTAGCTGTTATATTATGTTTATTTTATTTAACACCGCCATTCAACGATAAGGTACTTGTTGAGACATCACATTTTCAACACTCAAAACTCGATGAAAAATAAGCTCTCGTCTGCCTTAGAGACCGGAGGCGTCGGGGTAGTGCTCGGTACCGGAGTCCTCTTCTGGTTCTGCTCTTGCTGTTCTCCACTCACCCTCTGAAAAAATACACAACAAGGTGATACCGTTGGCCATGCCATAGAGTTGATGCGCCATTATCGATACGAAGACCATTTCATTAGACAGCTCTCTATACATCACTATCGACGTAACGGTGGACATGTCGTTAATGTACAGGTCCCAGGTCCCATGATGACGAGCAAAGAATTGTTCTATAATAGCCAAATGTTGTGGTCTCAGCATATTTCTTAGGTTGTTTCTGGACCCAGCTAATAGCTCCCGGCAGAGCATATTCAGGGAGGCTCGTAAGTCTGATGCAATTTTTTTTTAACCCGCAACAACTACGTGAATTCGTGTTAACCATTGAGTTCTAATCAAATGTAACAATTAATTCGGACACTTTCGTTAAATGGTCAATAGGCTCGTATTAAATTACCTATCAAATACCAGTTACCACCAGCTTTGGCTTTCGGGAGAGAGATATGGAAGAAGAACAGCATCCCGAGATGCTTGAGTGATGAGTTACTGCACCTTATGTGTACTTTAACATCGTGTCTTGTCAGATCATTCCCCTTTCACACCATGCCTAGCAAAATGCCTCAAGCCCTCCGGTCCTATGACGCTCGGCACACGTCGCCCAGCAACGGCAAAGTCCTTCTGCAAACATCGCTAATCAGGAGCTCTTTCGGCGTCCTCACCTCTGTGATGTCACAAGGTATTATCGCCACTCAAGGTGCCCAAAACACAGCACAGTTCAGCAAGCGGCGGGCGGGGCTTATAGGGGAGACAATCCTCGCCAATTACGGTGCCCAAACACAGCTCATACTCGCGGCGATTGGTGTCGTGAGGGGAGAGAGAGAGAGAGAGAGAGAGAGAGAGAGAGAGAGAGAGAGAGAGAGAGAGAGAGAGAGAGAGAGAGAGAGAGAGAGAGAGAGAGAGAGAGAGAGAGAGAGAGAGAGAGAGAGAGAGGAGCCATCCCCGTTTATCATGCTCACCTGAGCCTCCAGAGTGGCCAGCCGGTTGTACTCGTCGATGGGGGTGCCTTCAGGCAGGTGGTCGGGAGGCTGCGGCGCGGGCCCTCTCTTCCTTCTGGGCAGCGCCGTGTTGGACTTGAACCATCGCTGAGGGCACGGGGAACAGGCAATTGTTGTAAAACGTGGTGCAAGATGTTGGAGTTGAGTAAGACGCATCCAGCAATGATTATAGTTTCCAGCGCTGTTTTAGTGATGGCATTCCCTGAGGCTAGTTACGGTCAGTAGGTAAGACTACATAGTTATTGGTCAACTGGTTCGAATTCGGTCAGTTGGGTTGAGAGTCAACCAAAAGGCCGCTCAGAGTCAGCCGGGAGTAGCACAAGGTCTCAAAGTCAGCTGTGTCAGCTATCTGCGCATTGGTGTCAGGTGTCAGCCCACCGCCCGACCGGCCACTTCGCCGCCCACGGCGGTTACGGCTGCCTGAATGAGTGCACCAATCGAGCGGCCGGGGGCGCCTGCTGCGTGACAGCAGAGCGTATCGACAGGGGCATCGGTCCGCCGGCGACCCCCTCCTGGTCGGGCCCACAACAGACCGTTCGGGTCTGATCGACCGATGGGCCGACGCGCCGCCGACGCAGTCCGATAATTCACCGGACGCCAGCCGACTGATTCGTGATAGGAGTTCGATCCGAGTGGTTCGCTTTCGGGCTATGTTGGACGGTGTATTTTTGGACAAAGGTGATAGAGAAGTGATGTGACGCTGGGCTGTCTGAGACTTTTGTAATAGTCGGCCGACGAATACGACAGAGGATGGGTTCGTCGGAATGAGTGTGACAAATCACATCAGTCACGGTCTGTTGGACCCGGTCCAGGAGCGGTGAAGTCCAGCTAACCGTGACAAAGACAGCCGCTGCACCTGGCATTGCGCCGCCGCCTTCCTTTCAATACGCTGAGTCGGCTGCATACACCGATCGATGCTGAGACATGCCGTCGGGGTCGGCACAAACAGTGTTTGGATCGCGGCTTCGGCCAGGTGCTGGCCCTCAGACGAGCTCGATAAAAAGGAGCGCTGAAGCGGCAGCTCACCGGCGCCGACACATGCACGGGCACGGCCACACGCAACACGAGTGGAGAGTCGGCCCAGCCGCGGGGCCGAGTTATTCCAGGAAACACACCGAGCGGTTCGGGGGCGTTACCATGCTGCCGGACAGGGGAACGGCGGAGACGAGAACTGTGGAACTCTGGTGAAAGGATACCAAAAGGAAGAAGTAGTTTTTAACTTATGCCCACATAACATGCCATAAGTTTCCGTGTAATTTACTGTTAACGTTTGTTTACAACTGCAGCAGAAAACTAAAAGCATGTACCTACTTATATAAGAGCAAGAAGTGTCATTTAGACTTCTCAAGCACGTCCAAAATGTTATGAAATTTCGATGACGCTAGAACCGAGTGATGTTAGTTGATCCGTTCTGGGATGTCAAACAAATACTCGTACTCGTTGCACATTGATAGCTAAGCTGGAAAACTACATAGCAGCGCATGGATTGTCTGGAAAAATGCCAGTGGCTCATAAAACTTGCTAGTGCCTTGCAGAGTGTAAAGTTGAAGTTCTTTGTCAGGTTGCATGCGTTTGAATTAGCCATTATGTTGAAGGCATATTTCAAGCGTGATACGTTTTTGGGTACGATCGATTAGATTATGTAACAGTCCAGTATACAAAAGAGCGCTCGTCTGTCAGTATACTGCGGAGGTGAAATGCATATTTAGCGCTTACACCGAAATTGGAATGCGAGCTTTTTTGCTGTTCATTTTATACTTCTCGATTGGGTGGTTATGTCATGAGCTAGGTTTTCCTGCAATAAATAAGACAAGAACTCTTAGTTTGGAAAACAGATTGTTGTAATACAAGATGTTTTATGAGTAATTATGATATGTGAGGTACATATAATGGGACATTTATTACGACAGGTCCAAAAAATGTTTAGGTTATTCTAGGCATTTTTTTCAATTAAATTCAAACTCTACCCACTCTTCCGTTTCTCTTCAATCAGCCAAAGACAATGGGATTTGTATGTGTTCACGAATCTCCTTCCTCAGAATGGGGAGGTTCGATGTACTCCAAAATGGAGCTGCATTGTACTGCACATGCGATGGGAAGTGGGTAATGGGTAGGTAACTAACAGCCCAGGCGCAGGCTACACTGTGTGATGAGCTCGTACATACACTGTGCCAGTATGTTTGTACCATGCTTTGCGCATCAGCACGAATCATAAAACCCCCCGGCTCACCTCCAGACACTGAGGCTGATGGATGGGCAGCGAGTTTGCCCCGAACTGCCGCCCGCACACGTAGCAGACGACGAACGTGGGTCCGGCGGCGGGCCGGCCGTAGCGCGCCAGCGTCTCGGCCAGGTGCCGCTGCTGCTCCTCCTCGCGCAGCCGCTGCTGCGCCTCGTCCTCCTGCTGCTGACGCTGCTGCGCTCGCTTCTTGTCGCGCTGCTGCTGCTTCCGCTTGGCGGCCGGGTCGAGCGACGGCTGCGCGTGAAACCGCACCGGCACCGGTTTCTGGATGGAGTGCCGTCTCCTGAAGAAGCGGCGCGGCGCGGCGCGCGCCGGCTCCCGCTGGCCCTCCTCCGGGTGGCTGTGGAAGCGCTCCGGGTTCTCGGTCTTGCCGCAGGTGACGCAGGGAGAGGGCATGCCGTCCCGGTACCGCGGCACCGCCGGCGGCGAGCGGCTGTGGCTGCTCGACCGGCCGGGCGAGAGAACGGCCGTCCGCGCGCGCTGCTCGATGTTGGGCACGTGCAGCTCGCGCGGTCCGACTGCGAGACGCATGGTGCCCGGCCGGGCCGCCCGGCTGCTGGACGACTCGCTGACGTCATCAGAGACAGGTGACGAGCTGGATGACGCGCCGGAGGAGCTGGAGGACTTCGAGGAGGAGGAGGAGGAGCTGGTGGAGCTGGAGCCGGAGGAGGAGCCCGCCGGCCGCTCGGCGCCCGACAGCGAGGTGAGCGCCAGCAGCTCGCTGCAGCGGTGTGCCGACATGTCCACCTGAGCGGCGTGCTCGGCGGCCAGCACCTTGGGCCGGCTCAGGGTGGTCGTCTGCGGCCGGGCGGCGCGGCCCCCGCCCGGGGTGCTGAGCCGCCCCGGCGCGCCCGCCGCCGGCCCAGCCGCCAGCGCCGCCTTCAGCAGGCCGTTGCTGGAGGGCCAGGAGGCGGTGAGTGACGCCACAGAGGCGGCCGGCTGAGGCGGCGCGCGGCGCACGGGCAGCGCCTCCAGACGGACCGGAGTGGCGGCGCGCCGGCCGGCCGGCAGCGCCCCGTTGGCCGCCCGCCACTTCTCCAGACATTTGGGCTCGTGCAGCGCGATGGAGCGCGAGCCGAACTGCTTGTGACACACGTAACACTCGGCGAATGTGGGCGGACGTACCGGCGCTGCTGGAGAGCCGTCATCAAGGTCCATCATCTGCATCGCGTAGGAACGTCTAAATGAACACGGAATCGGGTGAACACGGCACCCCACGTTGTTTTCTATTTGGCTTTTATGGCTGGAACGTCGAGCACTCGCTCATTTCAAAATAAGAAAACTGGGTTTTAACACTGAACAGTGAACTTGAATGTCATCCACGGTAAAACAAAAAGCGCGTGAAATACTTGATTGACGAAGAACTTCACCGCTCCCAGTACTGTCCGATGTTGTTTGAGATTTGCGGGTCTTCTCACCTATCAATTGATTTGCGTTGTCGTTTGACTTGCCAACAACTGAATGTCTCTCGTAAACGCTTTCGTAAAAGGTCAACACAAGGTCAGCACTTTGATTGTGTTGCGAAGAGCTGCCGATACTGCTGAGAAGCACGAAGCGTTATCCTCACTACGTCTCCCGTCCAGCAAACCGGCTCTCAGCACTCTGCAGGTCACGACGTCAACTGGCTGCCGCAGCGTCACGCTGGTGTGCACGGGACGGACACAGACGGCGAGTCTCACGATAAGCGCGGACTTACACGTTAAGTCCGGCGCTAAGCACCGACTTACACCGTCCGTCGGTCACTGGGTGGGGACGACCCGGCGACGGTCGACTCCCGACCTCCACTGTGGCCGGCAGCGGCCGGCGGCGGGCACGTCCGATCGATCCCATCACCTGGCTGCCGACGGCGACAACACAGTGGCAGCGGCCACAGACCTCAGGCAGTCGCCGCCCGCGCCGGGACAGTCGATACTCCCAGCAGAACCGGCACCGGCACGGCCAGTCCGCACTGTTATAACGTGCGCCGTTCCCGGAACACCCGGCGCTGTTTGTTTGGAGTTTGTCGAACGTGGTATGGCCAATGACGCATAAAGACCTGTTATTTTACAGTCACCTAGACTGTCAGTGATGACTAGGGCTTGTGGCCTGCCATTGACAGGCACTGAAATCACCGAGACAAATATGTGAAAGCTCGATAAATTAAAGACTTTGTGGCAAGTGCTTATAATTTTCCAAGTGACATGATACCTACCATACTCTTTAATTAAATGAAAGAAGGAAAGCGTTGTAGTTTGCTTTTAATCTGGACACGATTTTTAAGTCCTTTTCAAGGCAAGCTGAGAATGGCAAATATGATTGAACTCACTGTCTGTGCGCTAAGCCACCTCGGACACTAATGAAGATTGAACTGGCTAGTAAATGTCATAAGCTGGAGAGTCAATAAAGCTGATCTTGTGGAATTATGCAGATTGGGAAACCACTTATTATGTCTGTCCATGGCCAGTAATAACGGCATTATCCTATAAAGAAGACTGCCTACTGTACTACTTTTACAACATCGGAATAAAGCAAGTTCTTAGGCGTAGAAGTCTGTACTCAAAGCGTATTTTTTTTTACAAAGCAGCTAGCAGCCTACCATTCCAGGCAAACGATTGCCCATGTATGTATAGTGAAACATTCTCTAGTCTACTGTACTTACAACTTCGTTGAAAGACTGCACTTGATTATCTCGGATGTCTAAGCTGTTAGTGTAAGAAAGGAGCGAGGTAACCGGCTGTAGCAGGGACCAAGCGAACGAAAACACTGTCGTCACTTATGGAAAATTATTGATGGCTCTTATATATAGGTAGCTCTTATTTTAGGATATCGGAGACATTCTTATCATGCAACGCCATAGGCCTTAAGTCAAAATTCCTTAGTTATTGGCAGGGCCTGGGCCCTATATGGGCCCCGCAAATAGTGTGCTTTCTTATCGGGGTCCAAGGCCGTATATTAGGTCTGGGTCGATGCAGGGCATGTGCAGGGCATACAGAGAGGATGCGTGTGGTCGCCGCTAAACGCACGAGTACCTAAATTTGATTTAGGTACTTTTCAGGTGCAAATTGCTTTACTAGATTTTAACATTTATTTGTGTAAACGATGCAAAGTTTCATTTTTCTAAGCAACATGATATGCTTATGTAAAGCGGACATCAACCAGACAGCAGAAGTCGGTCAGGTTTTCCAAAAGCAGCGCGCTGATCACAAAGAAACCAAAAAAGAAGAAAAATTCCCTCAAGGGCAAGCGTGTTTCTCTACATTTAAGACGAAGTTTTTTATGGTTAATTTGTAGTTTGCAGAATAAGTCTGCTTAAACGTTCCACCAAACGACTCTACGTTTAACAAACTGTTCTACAAATCCGCTAACAATTTCTTCTCTTTTCTTCTCTCGCACTTTCCCTTACCTCTCTCTCTCTCTCTCTCTCTCTCTCTCTCTCTCTCTCTCTCTCTCTCTCTCTCTCTCTCTCTCTCTCTCTCTCTCTCTCTCTCTCTCTCTCTCTCTCTCTCTCTCTCTCTCTCTCTCTCTATCTCTCTCTCTCGCTCTCGCTCTCGCTCTCTCTCTTCTCTCTTCTCTCTCTCTCTCTCTCTCTCTCTCTCTCTCTCTCTCTCTCTCTCTCTCTCTCTCTCTCTCTCTCTCTCTCTCTCTCTCTCTCTCTCTCTCGCTGTGTCTTCCTCCCTCTCTTCCTGGTCAATTTTTCACAAACCGTGATATGCGGTACAGTATACTTCCAGGCGTTACTACTGCTGCCATCTATCGGGTAGTTTTGAACTATCATAGCGGCTCCTCTGCCATTGAATGCGGCGATGGCCTAAATGCCTCTTATACGATTTGATCCTGGTTTTGTGAGCACTCTTGAGTTTTATGGGCGCCATAAACGTCAGCTTGAGAACAAACCACCTACTCGGCATCACGCGAGTCGCGTGGACCGAGCACCTGGTTATCGACTCCGCTGTCAGTGACAATTCACTGATCACGCATCCTCAGCCCGACCGGGTCACGCTGCCGAGCCCCTAATGTCGCCCGAGGCCGGGGCACCGAGGTCAGCTGGGCGGGGCGCCAGTCCGCTCGATGACCTCATTACCCGCGGAATGTGGCCATGGGCGGACGTTCAATGACGGCTCGATATGCGCCCATAGGAACTGCTCCGCCGTCAAATGACAGCAAAAGTTCGCTCCAAGACTACTAGAACTACCTACCTACAACATACATATTATATATAGGCTCGCTCGAGTGACCTCCTTTTACGCGGGAAGTTTTAGACAAAAAGTAATACATATCGCGAACTTACGTAATATTTTGTTGGCTGAGTATTTCATTATTTGCTCTCTCATGAATATCAGTTTAATACTTTCAAATGGTTTAAGTAGTCGTTTTGACATGCTCAGTTTTTAGGTGAGATCGTAAGAGTTCTTTAAAAAGGGCGTTTACTTGTTTTTTTTTTTTTCGCCTCTGACAAAAGCACCTAGTAGGGATGAGCGATATTTTCGATAAGGTCACATTCATTCCATACCCATGACTCACCCTCGTACATGAACATTTTGTCATTAACTGGCAAAGATAACATTGCTCAGTTTTATCGTAAGTCTTCTACATGACACTCCAGAAAACCCGTCTTATCCTGAATCTTGTCCGAAGCGGGGCGGACCTGTCGCCTTTCTGCGGCCAACGGCGAGTTAGATGGTGGGTGCCAAACATCCGAAAGCTTTACGGTAGTATGGACAAGTCTTATGGTAGAAAGTAATACGCTTGTCCGGCATTTCTTTCTCATTTTAAGAAGCTTAAAACTTACTCCAAATCTGCAGACATATGCTGAACAAGCCAAGCCCTCCATGTATCAGTGAATCTATGACGCCATTAAGCCCGCACCATAACATCTGTGACGTCATCACGCCCAGTAGTGGCGTCACGGAGCCGGGGTAATCCGTGACATTGCAGCGCCACAGTCAGAGGCTATTATTAGCCTCGACGAGGGTCTGGAGCGCGCTGAGCCACCCGCCACGGCCGGGTTCATCGGTAATGTAAACAAGCATATCGTTCTTTTCCAGGGAGAGTTGCCGACAGCGACATTCGAAATGAGACCAGACCAGATCAGCATCACTTCGTTCCAGGCTAAACGTTCGTCTCATGATGTATAGGTTTCAAAAGCTTTGTGGTCTTTTGTTCATGCACCATCACTAACACTGAACGCATTAGCTGAAGAGCAGAAATAAGCATACTTCTCTGGTGCGGGCCGGAAGCAACCGGTGGATGCCAAAACATAAGCAGATGTAATCGAAGACTACCACATACAGCATTCGAAAAATAAACACTAACTTGAAGATCATGGAGGTTCACTTCCAATATAAGTCTGAGCCTGCTGTGGAGCGGACAGCTGACAAGTCGGTTTGGGAGCCGTAGCATAGGCATTTAATCTGACCACTGTCCTGTATTTTGATAGCAGTCTGAGGTTTATTAAATTATAGAACCAGATTCACGTATTCACGTATTCACGTATTTATCGGTGGGAGCTCGAAAAAAGTCTGAGCGCCGAAAACGAGAGCAGTGGGTTCTGGGTCTGCTGTCTGAAAACAAAAACATCCGCGGACCTCTGTCCACCAAACGGTCACAAATACAATGACAAACGCAAACCAAAATAGTGAACATAAATATCGGTATAATTACTTCAGCAGCGAAAACCTTAGCTGTAAGCACATGTTATAGTACACTTTTGTGGAACTTGGTTTCTCAAAGTGGCACTCAGCAAGTACGGCCCTCCAGCAAAAGAGTGGTTGGTTAGCCTATGTGCTTTTGGTGCAATAACTTTGAATGACAGAGACACCCCTGTAAAATGACTCAATAGAAATGAGAAGAGGGTTCGTGCACACACTTCGGCAATGGTTTCCAACAGCCATTAGACGTATTCATCAATGCAGATTGCTTATGTGATACTGGCAACCAACTACTAAATACCTGGAGGGCCGTAAATAGCATAGTATATTATTTTTAATTATCTCAACCTAATCAATAAAACAACATATCTTGCAGAAATCTACAGTTTCAAAACTAAACTTTTCCCATGTTATCGCTGCCCTACAGCGTTTTCGCGACAGTATAGAGGTACACATCAGCATGCAAAATCTGGTCAACTCATACATATGACTAGCGTATAAAATATCAGCACAACTGACGCATACACCTTATCACACTAGCAAATGTTGTAAGTCACAGCGGCTAAGGCCGATGTTTCTGGCAGACTGAGTGAGCTAAAATGTGAACAACAGATAATTCAGATGGCGACGACTATTTGCACGGACCATGCACGAGCAAGATACATGAGAGCATTACGAGCCGATCAAAATAATGCGGTCCCAGCATCCAACAAACTATAATTCACAGAACATGAGGGAATAATACATAGATGACAGATGGGCATACTCGCACGCTCATAAAATCATGCGATCGCACCTGACATGAAATGCAATATCCTAAGCATCCACCAGCGCTGACAAGCATCATACAGAACAGCGGTGGTGACTCCACCAAGCGTTTGCTTCACAGGTTTGCCTATTCACTTTTCCCCGTGGATCGCACCAGTACTGGCCGCTGGTTACCTAGGTTACCTGCACCGTCAACGGACAGCTGCGTGGCTAGGCTCCGACCTGATCAGCCGGCGCTGTCCTCAAACGTCTCTAGGAGGGTGTGCAGGTCGTCAGTAAGACTCCCGAGCAGCGCACGGTGCGAGGAGCCACTGGCGAACACCGCGTCCAAAAACTGCTCGCGCGCGAAAAATCCGAACACATGCTTCACCCGCGCTTTGGTTTTGTCCGTGAGATGGCGCTCGATCAGCGCCAGTATCGTTGCCTGCATGTCCGCCAGGCTCTTCAGGATAAAGTCGTGGTCGTACGTGAAGTCCACCTCGTAGAAGCTGATGATGGTGAGCGCCGTGGTCTGGAACTGGCGCTGGAACTTGTTGGCCAGCTGACGCTCCTCGGCGTTGAACTGGTCGTTGCGGTTCAGCAGGCCCACCTTCACCATGACCTTAATGATGTTCTTGGTGACCTTCTCGGCGGCCGCCTTGTCGCCGCTCTGAGAAAACAGTAACAAAGGGTTGGTCAAAGGGTTACCTACCGGTAAACCAGTAAGAAGCCGCTTACCGGCTAATGCCTTTTACGAAATCGATATAGTCAAGTTTCTTTTGTGAGTGCTGGACACTTTTAGAAATCCTTTTTTGAAGATATCACGGCTGGTATCACATTCATAGTTCAAAATAAAGATTTTGTTCAACGCTCCTCTTGTTGTACATATAGGGATTGTCCAATTGAGATAAACAAACTTTGACCTCAAAGTGAGAAACACCTGAACAACAGCTATCTCATGCTTCTAAGGAAGCTATTCATCGCCATCAACTCAACCCATCACAAGCAAATATTTATTGCATCTCCGACAAATATTGTAGCCGCTGGCATTCGTCATCACTGATTCATCTGCCTCTATCCCACCAATGGCTGTATTCAGACTGTCTATCCGTGTCTGCACCCCTGACCGCGGATCGAGGGGCGCCTCTGTGCCGCCGGCGGCGCCGAGCGGCCAAGTTTGACCGGCCGGCCAAGTGTTTGGGCCACGGGAATAGCGCGGCCATTGTGCGACATGAGTCGAGTGGCCGGGCGGCGACGACCACTGGCGGCCGGCCAGCCCGGCAGCAGCGGGAGCGGCCGGCGGCCACCGTCAGTCCGCGCGGAGCTGCCGCCGACCGGCAGCGGCCGGAGTGGGGAAGGACAGGGGCGGAGAGAGGAGAAGGACCAGACAGAGAGCGGAGAAGGACTGAGCAGAGAGCTCGGAGCATGGCCCCGGAGAAGGACCGGGTAGAAAGCGGAGAAGGACCGGGGCAAATGGAAACCGGATGTCGGACAGGCCTGATAGTGGTAGATGGGGTTGAACGGCTCAGGACGAATTGGGCTGATTATGTCATGATAACGCTACTGACCACTTGTTTGCAGAGAAGGCAGAGGTTATCCAGCAGCTGACTGGTGTTGTCGTCCACCAGCATCTTGGCCACCGTCTTGTTGCTCAGCTTGCTGGCGAGTTTCTTTTGGGCGCGCATGCCGATGTCCTTGGCTCGAAACTCGCTCATGGTCAGGCCCTGTGCAGACACAGACGGATACCGAAGTAATGCGATGCATACAATGATTATGTATGAACTTGAAAGACAACCGTGTCAAAACACAGCTTATGATATTCGCCGGAGATACTTAATTCGCAAAACGCTAGACAGCGTGCACACTGTTACATGAAGAGCTACAAAGTAGTTGCAGGACAAAACGAGAATTTAGACGGGATGCATAGATAGGTATTCAAATGATAGAAGAGACCAATGTTGACAACTGTCTTGCTACAGTTTGAAAGTCACATTCCATAAGCAAGGACGATGCCGTAGGAAGATAACGAAGGAGAATAAGAGGGTACCTTACAATCCACTCTAAGAATAGTTGCAGGCATGACTTCAAAATCAATTTCAGCCTGTGTTCTTCATTCATATCAACTCATTTGTCGCCTACTCGTAAGTTGCTTCAAGTGTGTCTCGTATGACTGATACGTTGACACGCATTGTTATGAATTATAAACAAATCCTATACCTACATCAGAAATCAGTGTCGTTGCTTTTTATTTAGCCTCCAACAGACACTGTGACGTTTATTTATGTGTGTAGTACACCGCTGGACTGCCCCCAGTGGAGTTTACACTCCACTTTACTCTGCACCCGCCCGGCCGGGCGTTGCACGAGCCGCGTTTGCTGACGGGGCCGAGTTGCACCAAGCCGTGCTCCACCGACAAACCGTCGCCCCTACCCCTCACAGAAACACCGAGAGGCGAAAAAAGCCGCTGTTCTGCACAATACTCGGCGCGTGTGTAAATATTGACACGAAGCGGCGGCTGTGCGAGTGTTGACACGGAGTCGGTCCTCCCTGAGACAGCCACCGAAGACAGGCACTTTGTCGGGTCACTGTTAGCTGGAGCCGTGCCGACCGAGCGGTGATCAAACGGCGGTGACGGCGACTCTGTCACCGTGAGTTCGTCTACGGCAAAACTGTCACTCGGGGATGAATCTGAGTGTAGGTCACTCGGTGACGCGCCCGTCACTCGGAGCTCAGACCTGCCTGTCGGTCAGAAGGGCGCCATCGCCGACCCGCCAGCAGCAGATCCGCTCTGCTGTCAGCTACCGCAGACAGTAATCGGTCTCCCCTCCGAGTGACGTGGCTGCCTGTCGCCCACAGATTGAGGCCCCTGTCGCTCAGCCCTGTGATGAGTGATCGCTCAAGTCACTCACGTGCGTCCCCGCTATCCGCTGAGCTCACGAGTCACGTCTCCGGACTCGCTAATGCTCGACTCCGGAATCCGCTCACGGCAGTGCCCGGAATTTCCTCGTCCTCACGCCGCCCGGGATGCCTATTCTCGTCTCCGGGATGAACGCTCGTTCGTCTTCGGTCGCCCTGTCAGCATTTAGTCTCACAATCTGCCAACTGGGCCATTCGGTTTTGATAATCCATGACATTTGACAGTTCCGTCTCTTCACGGTGCCACTAGAGACGGATAATTTTATTTTCACTCCGACATACATGTTGAGTAAGTAATGAATTTGATCTGGTCGCCCGTTTAATTGCTGTTTTGTCTAGTTAAATCAAAATAAAACAATGCTTAGTGAGAAGTTAATTAAATCATGTCTTCCGATAGTCATAGAATGCGACATAATAGACATGAAACACATCTACGGAAGAGGTAATTTATAAATAAACAAAAAACGTAACGAGCAAGCCATTGCCACTTATGCTGACCAGAACAGCGTCCAGAACCCGGATGCTTAAATCCCCTCGCCCCGTGTGTGTGTGGGGGGGGGGCAATTTGCCCCCCCCCCCTGTGGGTTTTCCTGAATAGCAAGAAAATGGCGGCGCATAGCGCCGCCAACTTTTCGGTACCTTCCCGGGCATCAATTTGACACCTTCACACAAAATTTCAAGTCTTAGGTCACCTTAGGTCAGGAGTTATTGAGGTCATGTTCGAGCAAAAATGAGCAAAAAATATGCAATCTTGAAACGCTCACCAAATCTACAGTTACCGAGCAATTTCAAAGTTCTTTATATGGTCATGTAGACAATAAGCGGCGCTACAAAACTGCGATCTCAAATTTTCAAAATTTTGGGGTTTTGACCCCTAAAAATTCAAAAATTGATTTTTTTTAGAAAAACTCAAAAAATCAAAAAAATCTGAATTTCGAAAAACGGAATATATGTGACGGTCTTTGCGCTCTTCTATAAACATACCAAATTTCATATCAAAATCTCGTTTTTTAGCCAAGTTATAGCGAAAAAAAACTGTTCAAAAATGATGACTGACGTCAAATTTTTTAACTCAATTTTTAGCGCTTGTAGACCACGTAGGGCAAAAGAAAGACCACCATTGAACTCCCCGTGACGAGCTGCATCGAATCAATACACATTTTATGCAAAAATATCAACTTTGAAATTTGACCTAATTTAACCTGACCTTGACCTAACCTTGACCTGACCTTCACTTCACCAGAACATAATCTTAACTGACCCCAAAGGCTGCCTGACCCACATAATCGTATTTGGCATATAAAATAGACCATAATACATGCATCACATGATATTTTCACATTGTGACCCTCAGTGACCTGACCTCTGTGACCTGACCTGGCATCAGTGACCTCTAATAGCAAAATATGTGTTTGAAGAACATTTCCCCATCGATGATTTTCAATGAAATGCATTTTACTCGATTTTACAACGCATTTCTTGAAATGCCTGTAAACTGTGAAAATTCGACCTTTGACCTGACCTGTGACGTCATCGGTTTGACCTAGGTCAAATAAAATTGGGTCACAAGGTAGTTCCCTGATGGGGCTATCCAACACTTTTTGCCGCTTGTCGCTAGGTTGCGTGGTTCTCGAAATCTTAGGGGGGAGGAATTGCCCCCCCCCCCCAACAGGGCGCGTTGCTCGGCAGAGCCCAACGGGGCGCGGGTTAAAAATATAAAAAATATTGCTTCTTTACTGTTTAAAACCCTATTCCTGGCGGGCTCCGCCGGGACAAGAAACTGGCGGGGGGGGGGGGCCGATTCGGCCCCCCCTTCAGATCTCAAAAACTACACATCGCAGCGACAAACGGCGAACAGCGTTTGATAGGTCGTTTAAAGATCTACAACTTTTACATAAAACATTTTCAGGTCAGGTCAATATTGAGGTCACCAGAGGTCATCAACGATAAAATGTTTTGGAATTAGTTACCTCTATAACTTTTAAACTAAGAAACATAGAGACATAAAACCAATACATTTTTTGTTGCTCTCGCCGAGGCGATGCGAAATAAGTATGTGATGACCTTCACAGGTTAATATGAAATTTGACCTGAGGTCAAGGTCAGGTCATTCATCAATGGGGTTGTGGGGTATGGTCATGCTGCATACCAAACGACGCGCCTTGACCAGGCGAGCAGTTTGGTACCACTTACAAGTCTTTAGCACCATCATGTCGTGATTTATTGACAGAAAAACGATTTATGACGTCACATGACCTCAGATGACCTTTGCCGGTGCTCCTGTCAATTAGCGGCACCAGGATCATCACCGATGAGATATCTTCCATAATACTGAAATAATTGGGTGGTTTTGACTCGTTTACACGAAGCAGGAGGCGTTTCAATATTTTCCCATAGGCTTGCAATGTAAAGGTCACGAGTGTGGTCTGACCTCAGGTCACAGATATGAAAATTCTGAGATATACAAATTGCACATACTGGTACCCTAACTAAAGCCTGAAGAGAAGAAATTGATCGGTCAAAAACTCTAGCTCTGGCGTGATTGCAAACTTTTCTGAGGTAGGGTCACCAAACCGCCTCTGGTGACCTGACCTGAGGTCAGATCAACTCAAAATTTTCAGAAATGTTGCGTAAAAGCCTTTTAGGAAAAGTCAGAAAGTTTGAGCTTCCTAGCTCAATGCGTTTGGGAGAAATAACCAAAAAACCTCAGGGGGGGGGGGGGCTCCTGAGGCCCCCCCCCCGCCAGGAATAGGGTTAACCCGCGCCGGGCCGGGGGTGTTTGAATATCTCCCTGCTGTTTTTTGCAGATATCTAAAAAACGGAGGCGCGGAGCGCCACCGTTTTTGGCATACCTGTTTGTGCATCTTTTCCGCACATGTTGTGACAATTTCAGACCCAGGTCGCCTTAGGTCAGGTCACCAGGTTACGCCAAGTGACCTCACCTCAGAAAAAATAAGAATGCTCGTCATAGCTACACCGACTGATCGATTGCCTTGAAACTTTCAGCGATTGATGAGAGCAACATTATCTATAAAATGTATATCTCGGAATTTTGATATCGGTGACCTAAGGCCAGGTCAATTTTGCGGCCTCTCCATTATAAGTCAATGGGGGAAAATTGAAAAGCGTCTGTTTTGCACGAACGCTATTCTAGACACTCTCAATCATCGAGATGTACCTAGGTAAAATTGACACACTGAACCGGAAAATGGCAACTGTGACCCCTCGTTATGTCCCCGAGGTCATCTCAGGTCACGAACAGAATCTAACAGTTTTTCGCTAATAACTCGCCCCCACCTCCGGCTCGGCGCGGAATCTCGGAGCACCGGCCCGGCGCGGAATGTTTATATGCCTGACCAACGGCCAAACACTATCAAAACGATGTATTCATGATAGACGCTGCATTCTGGCTGGGATAGTATGACATCACAACTTGCCTCACTCTCAGGACCTTTTTATTTTATCTATTTGTCATTATGCATACCTTTCCGAGGCTGCTATGCCTATTGTTCCGATAATAACCCGTCTTTTACTTGCAAGCAGCGAGCCCAAGCACAACTTTCTCGCCTGCCTCCAAGCTCTATGCTTCTATAGTCCACCAATGACATGAGCAGCAGCCATGTTTATGGTCGGTTCGCGTGCGGCCGCAGCATCACATGCAGTAGGCCGGCGCGGTGGGGTCGGACGCCAGTTCCGGCCGGGGTCGGCGAGTGCGGAGGTCCTGGCCAGGTGGGCTAGTGTGGCAGTGCAGGGCCGCCACCGCAGAGGTCAGCTAAAAGGTAGCGAACGGCTAACAGCGATTATCAATGCAATCAACAGCGATAGAACGGATACGCGGTGGTCCATGGAATCTATGGTAACTGCAGCGCGGCACATCAGCGGGGAAGCAAGCTTTATAGTGTTACGTGACCTTTACCTACCTTTAGCTGGCCGTCTTGATAGGTAATTACCTATATGTCCCGGTCACCTTTCCATTCAATAATCGAACGGCTTATGTTTTCGGTCACACACCGATTTTTTTCTTTATTGCTCCTTTTATGTGCGTTCTGTTTAAACGTCAATGCATTCTCCTCAGGAGAGAATGAGGTGTTGACATACAGGAAGATTAAAACGGCCTCTTATAATACCATAACAAAACAAATACGCTTAGTTTGACGATTGATTATATAGCTTCATGAATGACAGTCACAGTCACATGTGACCGAGGGAGGCGTGCAAACATTTCCAGGACATGTCGCGGGACATTAGCATTTTTCTCTCTCTACCACAGTTCCACTCGCTCAAAACCGACACCACTCACACCCGAGCTCATACATATTCCGGCGGCCGGACGGGCGGGCGGCGCACCACAGCCTCTCTCTCTCTACCCCGGCAGGAAAACGGAAGTCGCAATCTGCGTCCGCTGGGCGCCGGAAGCCGTCGCCGTCTACCGACCGCCACACGCCGGGACGGCCGAGGGATGGGTCGGACGGCGCCGGGCGCGCCTCGCTCCCTCCACGAGCGACCTTCTGTGTATATGCCGTGTGCACGGTGAGGGACGCAAATGATTGCACCAGAGCCGACTCTATTTACGTTCAGCCTCTGTTCGTACTCTGTCTGTCGGTGCGTCGAACGAAGTCCCGTGACCGCAGTTCATCCCCTTCTCAGCGTAAAGCCCAGTTTTGAGCATACGAATGTTTATATAGGTGCTTTGACCTCAAGAGTTTACGCTTGCGAAACGTCTATCGGAAAGAAAAAATCAGGGCGCATTTTCACAAGAGACTAGAGCGAGAAAAATAGGACCTATGTAAGGCATTGCAAGCAGAAACACCTCACCTTGCAGTCACCAGCCGAAGTTGACGTTCCGACCTCCGAGCCGCCGGCAGTCAGCACTTCCCACGGACCCACCCACCCGTCGGCGTGAGCGCCCTGCGCCGGCCAGGGGCACCACACGCGCGCACAACCCTCACGGCCCCGCCGGCGGACGAACCACTGACACGGCCCAACCCGGCGGCCGTCCGCGGCAGCACTGCTGCCATCTGCCGGCGGCGGCCGAAAATTAGGGCAGAACAGAACGAGCGGGGAGACCGGCTAAAGGTATGTGGATTACGGGTGCTGCATTACTGCAAATGATTATCACTTTTTTACCGTCTTTTGCACATTGAAATGTATGGATTTAGGAGCTGTGCGCCCCAATTTATGTGCTGAGAAACAGGCCAGCTTAGTGCCTCAGTCGTCTCTGTGCGTGTTTAGGTATGTAGGCCTACCTACTGCGTTCGCTGGGAAGATGTGACCAGTGACACAAATACCTACCTTATCTCACGCTTCTCTCCGAGCTTCCTCAATTATTTTTAGTGATTATATCGGCGCAAGAATATTATGTGCGTACCCACAGATAACAGTAGTACTACCGTTATATGTGGCGTACCTAAACGTCATCGTAGTCTACCTACTTTTCGAAATTCCATTCCAATGGATTCATTCGTTGCCTAGACATCATCCGATAGCGAAAAAAGCTTCCATGTAGAAAATGTAGCACTATACATTTAGATAACACCTGATGAATCTGGAATGGAAGATTTTTTGGTTGTCCAGACACCATACCTAACGGAATTAGCGCGTATAACTACGTTTTGCGGTCGTAGGTATTCCATGACCAGACCTCACCCCGACCGTGGAGCCAACTTGGTCACGGATTTTGGGAGTCAGTGCAGCGCCATGCCAGGACTAGAATTGACAATAACTTGCAGCACTGCTACTTATGGTGTGCATAGTCAGGCAGGATGCTCTCGAATCTCCATGCCGGTATGAACCGTTTTACAATCTATTACAACGCTCTCTATGCGGCACGCTGTAAACAGAAGCATTTTCGATTCAAAATGCTTGTTTGTGTGAGTTGAGTACCTTACCTCGAAAGTGCAGAGCGTGACAGAAATGAATCTCATATTGCAGTGACCAAAGAAACTGCATCAGTTGACAGTTACCTTGTCAAATGCTAAATCAATGTTCCAGTTAGCAAACTCGCAAGTGATCTCGCCTTTGACGAACTCAAGAGAACTCGCCTTTGACGAACCGGCACACCTTGAAAAAGTCAACGCTGCTTGTAACCTGTTCGGCACATGATCAGAAAATAGCCGGAACCCGAACAAACAGGTCAAAGCTAAATATATGCAACTGTTGGGCATCAACATTGCGTTGGTGCAGGGACCCCTCGCGGTTTATGTATCTTGCGAGCGTTGTGATTTGTGATGCGAACGTTGTGATTTGAGATGTGAACGTTGGGAGATACGCTAAATGTCACGCACCTAAACATTAAACATGGCAACCTTTCACCTTTCGTTGATAAGGAATGGTATAGTTGATTAATGCTGAGCGATGCGCAATTTTTCATAAGCAAACACATCAAATATGAATCTCGCCCTAGGTGTTCTTTGTGTGGGTGTACTGTTGACACATGGAATGCTAGGCAAAAAGCCAGTCCACGCATCATTTATTATCCATGTTAGCACACCGGTAGTCACAGAGGACGCGTCACACGCCACAATCATTCCCAATGCGATTCACTATTCACTGTACAGCACAGAGCAACACTCCACCAAAAAAGGTACCTAAACGTTCGACCTGGAACCGCGACTAAGCGACGGCAGGTCCCGTACCCCGTCTATGAACCGACGGTAGTGTACCTGACTGCGGCCCCTATCGTCACGGCCGGCCCGCCGACACTGCCCGTCCCGTGTCGCGGTGCGCCCTAGGATCTCGCGGGCGCCTCCTACTTGAACATGCCGTACTCCATGCGCTGCCACAGGTACTTGGGATCGGCGTGCGCGTAGAACTCGCAGATCTCGGGGTCGGTGAAGCCGCGGTTGGGCCGCTCGTAGATGGGCAGGTCGTACAGCTGGCCCACCTTCCAGCCGGGCACGTCCTTCATCAGGCGCGCCTCCTCCTCCCGGTTCCGGCTCAGCTGCTTCAGGTACCTGACACGCATATTCAGAGGTGAGCTACAGACCCCGTCACGGCTTTACATACTCTACACTGTCTAAGCTGTCAAGCGCCATCCTCACAGAAGCCAAACGCAGGTAAAATGAGGTCAAGAGCATGCAGTTTTAATCACCAAAAACTTATTATAGAATAGCATGACAGCATACTCGTATATGCCAATGAATGATCAATATAAATTTCATTCACACACCAGTATAACAGAATAAATTACAGCAACAAAAGTGTGACCGAATATGGTGCAAATGTTTAGATGTCTAATTGAATGAATATTTAATATTTCTGGCACAAGTAAATGGACAAATTAAGCAGGAATTGCAAAAAGGAGATACATAGCATATTTAACTTTGGAAATTGCTCTCATCACAGAAAAATACTCACTCCCTGTCACGCTCTGCAAGAAGAATGGGGAAGATTGCATTGTGACTGCTGCGCTGCTCAATTTTTCTATTCTTGAACACCTTGTGCATCCGATGTGTGAGCCAAAAACCGAATGCGAACAGTCCAAGGTAGCCAGCAATCATCTGATAACCTGAAAGATAGAAAAATGTCTTAGTTTTATCACATAGATACTCATTATGTTTAAAGTCTGGCAAATATTTAATAATCATAGACCTCTCTACTTCTATGAAGTTAGCATATAAATATAGAGGTCTATGAATTAACTCAAGATGCAGCCTGGTAAGTGGCAACCATGGATGGGATGCATCATGCAACAACTGGGCCGTGGCTTTGGGAAATTAAGGCCTAGGATTGCTAACCATGTGGATTTTTGTACAATTTTAAACAAGCTTTCCATAAAAGTTCATTTTTTTTAGGTAAACAATAAAAAATACTCATATTCAGTCAAGTTCAACACCAGGGAGGGGCACACAGCAGATGATTCTATTAAAGGTCATTGTGCAAAGCAATTGCATCCAGTATCCACTGATCTGCTGTAAAACTTCAAAATTTGTTGACCTACCATGATAAATCCCATGGATAAAGTAGTTTTTTTAGTACCTACTATGCATCTTTGTTGATGTAATCCATAATCATGTCCATAATATGGACAAAAAGTTTAGTTTTCTTAAAAAGACCACCCCAGAGGGGTGTTCACGGGCACCGCACACTGCTGCGTACGGTGTGTGCGGTACGTCCAGCAGGCGTGGGGGTAGGGGATGGGTAGGCGGCTCTGACGTCACGGCTGCGTGCGGTGGACGGTCCGCTGTGGCCAGTCCCGACCGGCCACAGCGGTCGCTGTGTGCGGTGACGCAAGGCTGACGTAGGGACGCAGTGGGCGGAGCTTGGAGGCTGTGTGCGGTCCGACCGCACACAGGGTCAGTGAACAGCCCTCTGCTTAGACATAGATTTGGGTTAAAGGGACCCTCCCACCTTAACATTAGTTTTGAGTTGAGATAGCCAAATTGGTGGCCATGGCCTGAAAATACCGGTTTGGGCATTCACAACATCGAAAAATGCCTTAATTCGGAGATATGGAATTTCAAACTTGCAGTTTTCGGATTCTAAGGGGCTAATGCATTGGTATGCCCCCTTAGAATTTGTGACGTCAGCGGAGATCTAACGATTTTTAAATCTTTTACTAAAACGTTTGGCAGCACGCGGTGGTATATGCTGCTTTGCGCGCAACAAATGCCGCACTTTCAAATAAAGTCGCTAGGAACAGCGGAGATCCCAAAAAGTAAACAAAAGTAAAAGTCTAATATCTTGAAAACCGGTGAATATTTTTCGATGAAATTTGGTAGATATTCATTTTTGCTCTTTCTGAACCGAGCGACATCACTTTCATGCCAATTCATTAACTTTTTTGAAGGTGGGAGGGTCCCTTTAACATTAGAATTGAGTTGAGAATTGAGATAGCCAAACTGGTCCTTGGCTCACAATCACCGGTTTCAGCACTCACAACGTAAAGAAATGCCTTCAATCGAAAATATTTAATTTCAAAATTGCAGCACTTGTACTCAGATGGGCTAATGCATTTGAATGCCCCATCTGAATTTTTTATGTCAGCATAGATCTAGTGATTTCAAATCTTTTACTAAAACCTCTGCAAGGCTGTTGTGGTACCTTAGGTGTGCTGCCTTGAGCCCAATATCGATATCTGCCACACTTTTAAGATATACCTACCAAATTATTGCTTTCAAATGACATCAGGGAACAGATCAAGCTGCAAAAAATAAACAAAAGTAAACATCTAATGTTTCAGAACTGGTGATTTTTTGATTTGTTAGATACATATTTATTTTTGCTCTCTCTGAACCACAATACATCACTTTACTGCCTATTCATCAACTTCTTTGAGGGTGGGAGGGTCCCTTTAAAAAATACAAAGGTATATACCATTTTTCATCATTTTTTTGCACAAAATTCGGTAAATATTTACTTTAGGTCCGCAATATTATTTTAACAAGAAAAAATGCACATTCTTACACTATTTGATGTCCTGAATTCAGATATGATGCTTAAATGCATCAAAAATGTAAAATAAGATACTAAAACCCCAGTACATTACACCGCACTGCTGCACAATACACACTGAAGGAAGCACGCTTCCGCGACAAAAACGAAACATACAACGCTGCCCTATAAAAGAAAAAAATGATGCGGATATTCATTAGTTTTCGACGTTATGAAAATGACGTCATAATACCAAAGCACAAGAAAAACGGTGAATAAAAAAGAGAAAATATTTAGCAAAGGTAATAGAGCATGAGAAAATGATCAGAACATAACCAAACCTTACCTAACCTGACCTACTGATGTTTGCCTACTGGGGGAAAAGGAAAAAGTGACTTGCATGAATAGATTGCAAGCAATGGTAAGTCAAATATTTCTAGGTTAAGTGGTTATGCATCAGGCTTCAGGCCTTCGGCCTGAAGCCAGATACACAACCACTTAACCTAAAAATATTTGACTTACCATTGCCTGTAATCTCTCCTAAGGCATTGCCTTCGGCACTGCACCGCTCCGCCTCAATTATTTTGACGTCACTTTCCTCACAATTTATTATCATCCGTGATTTCGCTCAACCTTGGTTGGACCATTTGTAGCGGGTGCGCCGCGCAGACACGTGCAGTTCCGGTCGGAGGTGGGGCCGTTGGTGGTGATACTGATGATAGTAGTGTACTGGTGCTTTAAAATTGGTTTCTAGAAGGAATAAGTATCAGAAATGAAATCAGGAGGTCTTAGAGTATCGTGTGAATGACTTTTATTTACCCCTCTGTTTTGCGGACCTAAAGTAAATAAATACCCAAAATTCAGTTAATTAAAGCATTTGACTATAGTAATTGCCTGTCAGCTGATAAAAGGGGATTTATTTTGAATTCCTTTGCACAAACCTGTGAAGAACTTCTTGGCAGGAACACGAGTCCAGTTGACAGCAGCATATCCACCAGGTGGTGGCATATCTTGTTTTACCCCAGCCATGGTGACAAATTATCTTTTTTATCTGATTAATTTCCACCCCTCTCCCCACACACACACACAACGCATTCCAATACAACCTTTTTTTTTCACAAAACATGCGCTGCAATCGTACAATGTGCGCAGCTAACGTCAAACTTTTCACAAAATGCTTTATTACACTATACGTTTTTTTACGGATTGAATTTTCGGAGTCTAGTGTTTAAGTGAAGATTTTGGATGAATTATTCTATTTTTTTGCACGCTTAACAACTTTTTTTGTTGAAAAGCTGTAATCACAACGCGGAAAAATATATTGTTCTTGATTGAAGAGTCACGACTAGTAATTTATACTGGTCTTGAATCGCGTACACAAAACATTATAGTTTTAATGTTTTAATTGGATTTTATCGAATAATTGAAATATTTTGATAACTACTGGGGAAACGCAATAGAATAAATTGATGAAAATGTATTCAAGGGTCAGCGATCGGATGAGCGTATGATCATCGAGCGGATTGATCATTGAACGCAGGGGCGTCGCCGT